ATTTATTTATTTTTATGGGGTGTTTGGCTACTCTACCATTCCCCTGTCTGAAGAGGTACCCCTAAAGTCTTTTAAGGATACATACAGGCTCCCAAATACTTTCAACATTTTTGGCCTTTGGAACAGACTATGTTGGTAAGAGGCCCAAGGACATTTTGACTTTTAGCCAAGAAACTGGCTACGTTTCTTTGGGATCTTTTTACCCTAGCCAATTCCTACCTCCTATTCACCATTCTCTGAAGAGGTTACCCAACTTGTGGAATGGGAATCAGGACAAAGACCGCTCTGGCTTCTTCCATGCTGAACAGGGGACGCAGGGTGAGGCAACTGGGGTACTCCTTCAGTGGGTCTATCTAAAAGATGCCCAAATTGCATAACTCTTTAACTGTAGGGGGAAGAGAAAGTCCTTGACTCATGACTATGTGAAGAAGTAAAGGCAAGAGTAATTAGCATTATAAGTTCTAGATAGAGAACTAGAAAAAAGTCAGAACATGGCAATTTTCAAATATTCATATGAGAGTCCATTGGAATTTCTTGACAAGGGCTTCCAAAAGCATCCCCCTATTGTGTTCCTCCTCATTTTTCTTTTGTCTTCCAAGGCTGGACTCTAGGTTCAGGATTTGCTTTCAGGTATTTTGATAGCTGTTGGAGTGGTTAGAATCAGTGTCAGTTCCCTCTCAAAGGTTTCTAGATGAGAGAGAAAACAAATTTATCCATAATTTTACAACTATAACTGGTTGTCTCCCTTAGCTACACAGACCTTCATCACTTCCTTATGCTTTCTCATTTTCTCTATTTTAGAAATATCTCCATTCCCATATCCTTGTAACACCTTTTACATTCTCTTTTTCTTTTTTTAAAATTTTTATTTATTTTTATTTAATTTCATAGAGAACATCTTAACTTCATAACCTTCCCCCATTGGCACCCACCCATAGTTTCCCCCCTACACTGGAATTCATACATTATGTCATTTCTGTTGGGTCCTCTTAGTCAGCCTATCTAGAGGTCTTTGTTTTAGGATGGTCAGCTGTTCCTCATCTAGCGCTAATCAGTTGTCAATATTCCTTTGGATAAGATTGGGGTCTGCTGTTCATTTCCCCAGTTCTATGCTGGGTTACTATCTGGGAGTCCCTTTGGCCACTGTGGCCAACAACTCAAAAGAAGGTATCACCTGTCTGGCATTGGGCTTGAACCAGTGTCCAGTGTATAAAGAGGAGTTTTAACACAGAGGAATCATTTCCTCCATGCTTCCAAGCAAAGCCAACCATGGTTGAGCAGGACCTTTGACTTATCTTCACATAGGTGGAACTGGTAAAAGAAAGGAGCCAGGGGCTCCTCCCAAGCCCATGTTACCCCTGAGGAACAGATCCTCAAATGACCTTAAGAGTAAAAATAAATCAGTTTATCCGGACCAACTCTATGGCCTTAAACACCCAAAAGGAAAGAATAACCAAAGATTAAAGGGGCCAATATAATTTCATAAGAGTCCATATGTATAGCTAAAGGCTTCATTTTATTTTTTTAAAAAAATAATTATGAGACATAATAGCATTTTCAAATGAATTTTCCATCTGTTGTGAGACTTCTTTTCCTGGAGATGCTAAGCAATGTTTATTCCTTTTTAAGGTTCTAATGTCAAGAAAATATTTGATTAAAGTTTTACTGGGGAACCAATGAATTTATTGAGCTTACTTACCAAGATAACTGAGAGTTTGCTGAGGTGTGTGTATGTCCTGAGTGTATGCACTTAGTCTTTATCCAGTATGGATCATACCTTCTCTTTCTAGCCTTCCCCAGATTGTATTCTTTAGCCCTCCCCAAATCCAGGAGGCCATGTGTGTTTGGTGCCAAATTACACACCGTCGGCTGGGAACAGTGGCTGGATAATCCAGTGAGGGTACAATGACCTTGCTTGGCCCTCTATTAATGAATGAGCATAACTGTCAACAAGCTCACTTGTGTCGATGTTTTGCGAGCAGGCTCAGCCTAAGTTGTGATGATAGTAGTTATTTCTTGCAGAAGGGACTGCTGTACAGCATCATCTTATTAAAAGGACCTGGAATTTAAAAGGAGTTGGAGCTAGGATCTACATATGAGGGAGATCATACATCATTTGTTTATCTGAGTCTATGTTACTTCACTTAGTATAACAGTTTCTAGATCCATCCATTTACTTGCAAATTTCATTATTTCATCTTTCTTTACTGCTGAATAGAACTCCATTGTGTAAATAGACCACATTTTTGTTAACCACTTGTCAGTTGAGCGGCACTTAAGTTGCTTATATCTCTTAGCTGTTGTGAAAAGAACAGCAACAAACATGTTTTTACAAGTGTCTGTACAATAGAGTGAGTCTTTTGGGTATATGCCAAGGAGTGGTATAACCAGGTCATATGGTAGGGTCATTTGTAGTTTTTTAAGAGTTCTCCACACTGCTTTCCATAGGGGTTGAACAAGTTTGCAATCCCACCAGCAGTGAATGAGTGTTCCCCTTTGTCCACATCCTCTCCAGCATTTGGTATCATTTGTTCTCTTGATCCTAGCCAGTGTGATTGGGGTGAGGTGATACCTTAGAGTGGTTTTAGTTTGCATTTCCCTAATGACTAACAATGTTGAACACTTTTTGAGATGTTTCTCAGCCATCTTTATTTCTTCCTTCCAGAACTCTCTGTTTCGATCTTTAGACCATCTTTTCATTGGGTCATTTGGTTTTGTGATTCTTTGTTTTTTGAGTTCTTTATATATTGTGGACATTAAACCTCTGTCAGATGTGTCACTGGTGAAGATTTTTTCCCATTCTGTGGGTTTTCTCTTCACTTTTTGTTTTTCGTTTTTCCTGTACAGAAGCTTTTTCGTTTAATGATGTCCTACTTGTTGATTGCTGACCTTAATTTCTGAGCAACTTCTGCCTATCTAAGAAAATCCTTTCCTACACCCATATCTTGTAGGTTTTTCCCAATGTTTTCTTCTAACAGTTTCAGAGATTCAGGCTTTACATTGAAGTCTTTGATCCATTTAGTTGACTTTTGTACAAGGTGAAAGATAAGGATCTGGTTTCATTCTTCTACAGGTGGAGATCCAGTTTTGCCAGCACCATTTGTTGAAGATGCTGTCTTTCCTCCATTGTGTGTTCTTGGCACTTTTGTCAAATATCAGGAGGCTGAAATTGCATGTACTCTGGTTTGGATCTTCAGTGATGTTCCATTGATCCATGTGTCTATTTTTTGTGCCAGTACCATTCTGTTTTTATAACTATAGCTCTGTAGTATACTTTGAGATCTGGTATAGTAATGCACCCCAGCATTACTCTTTGTGCTCAGGGTTGCTTTGGTTATCTGGGGTCTTTTTTGCTTCCATATGCATTTAAGGGTATTTTTTTCTAATTCTGTGAAGTACGTCATGAGGATTTCGATTGGGATTGCATTGAATCTATATATTGCTTTTGGTAGGATGGTCATTTTCACAATATTAATTCTTCTAATCAATGAGCATGGGAGGTCCTTCCATCTCCTAGTGTCTTCAGGCTCTTTCTTTAAAGATTTAAAATTTTCATTGTAGAGCTCTTTCCTGTCTTTGGTCAGATTTATTCCAAGATATATATGTTTGCAGCAGTTGTGAATGGGAACATTTCCCTGTATTCTTTCTCCAATTGCTTGTTATTGTTATATAGAAAGGCTACTGATTTTTGTAGATTGATTTTATAACCTGTCACTATACTGTAAGTGTTGATCAATTCTAGGAATTTTCTGGTGGAACTTTTGGGATCTCTTATGTGTAGTATATCATCTTCAAAAAGTGATAGTTTGACCTGTTTTTTTCCAAATAGTACTCCTTTAATTTATGACATTTATTGACTTACATATATTGAACCATCCCTGCATCTCTGGGATAAAGCCTACTTGATTATGATGAATGATTTTTTTTAATGTTTGTCTGTTTGCAGTTTGCAAGTATTTTGCTGAGAAATTTTGCATCTATCTTCCTTAAAGATATGGGTCTATAGTTTTCTGTTTTGGTTGTGTCTTTACCCGATTTCAGTGTTAGAGTGATGCTGGCTTCATAGACTTCTCCTTCTGTTTCTATCATTTTGAATTATTTAATATTGGTTGGAGGTCTTCTTTAAATATCTGGTAGAATTCTGCTGTAAATCCATCTGGGCCTGGGCTTTTTTCGTTGGGGACTTTGTATTGCTGTTTCAATTTTCTTATTTGTTATGTGTCTGTTTAAACTGTTGATCTCTCTTGGTGTAACTTTGGTGGTTCCCATGATTTCAGTTCTCTCTCAATTTCTTTTAGATTTTCAGATTTAGTAGCATATGAGTTTTTAAAATATTCCCTTATAATAGTCTGGATCTTTTGGGTGTCTGTTGTGATGTTTCCCGTTTTATCTGTGATTTTCTTGATTTGGATTTGCTCTTTCTTTCTTTTGATTTACTGGGGTAAGGTCTGTGTATCTTCTTTAGCTTTTCAAAGAACCAGCTGTTAGAGTCCTTGATTTTTTTTGTTTGTTTGTTTTCTTTGTTTCTATTTCATCAGTTTCTCCTCTGCTTTCTGTTATTTTTTCTCTTCTGCTGGGTTTGGCTTTCATTTCTTCTTACCTTTCAAGTGTCTTGAGTTGAAGTGTTAGGTCATTTATTTGGACTCTTTCTAATTTTGTAATATAGGCATTTAGAGCTATAAACTTTGCTCTTAGGCCTGCTTTTAATGTGTCCCAGAGGTTATGTTGTGTTGTATTGTCCTTTTCATTGAATTACAGGAATTCTTTTATTTCTTTCTTAATTTCTCCTTTGACCTACTCATTGTTTAGGAGTGTGTTCGATCGCCATGAGTTCATATAGTGACTAGGGATTTGTTTAGTGTTGATTTTGAGCTTTTTTGCATTGTGATCCGATAGAATGCATGAAATTATTTCAATTTTTTGCTGTTTGTTGAGGTTTGTTTTGTGACCCAGTATATGGTCAGTTTTTGAAAAATTTCTGTGGGGTGCTGAGTAGACACATCACTATGGCACCTGCTGGAATATCTTTTTTGGCACGTTGATAGTGCAACATGTGGGGTCTGTTGTTGAGCAAAAATTACAGGGGACAGTTCTCCCCCAGCCATCTGCATATTGCCTTCTGAAAGACCCATCCAGTGACAGGGAGTTTCCAGCTTAGTCCAAGCTTGATTTCTCCCTCTCCCTTGCTCACATCATGTGGTATCTTCAGCAGTACGGTTTATTGTCCACTTTCAGTGTACGACCAACATTATTGGCAATGGTCTTTCTTGTTTTGGGGACCAAAACTGCTGCTCTGGCCAACAGCTCATAGAGGGACAACCTACCTCTGGCACTGTGATTTTCACTTAACAACCCTATGGGATCTGGCAGGGCTTTCTTTCATCCCCATAGCCTTCCTTCTGTGCTTAAGGATTTTTTTTTTTTTTACTGTGTATTGGGAGAACCCTCCCCCCCATTCCCATAGTTCTTTCTATAGCCCTCCTTCCCCCCCTCCCCTTTAACTACACCTTTTTTACATATTTTTCCCTTAGTAACACCTGTCTCCTACTATTCGTCTCTCTAGCGTTCCTTCTTTCCCTTTACCTCTCTGGTTTCTTTCCATATTCTGGTTCCTGCAGTTACATCAGGATATGCACTCACTTATGAGGATGAGGCACCTTCTCTCACCATTTGCAGCTGTCGGGAAGTCACAGTATCTTCCTTTGACTGTGGACTTTCCAGTGCAGCTGTAAATGGATGGATGTCCACTCTTCTTTAAATAAACCCCCACCCTATGCTCTGGTAGCAAACCCAATAAACTCCTTAGGATTAAAAAAAAAAATAACAGAACTAATGATGCAAACTTTCATTATTCTACCAAAGTTGACCCCATGTGGGAAAATTCTTTGGTCTTTGATTTCTTACTCCTATTTTTCTCCACTTAAACATCATTGTGTATGCATTTTTATGTAACCTGTTTCAAGTTATTTCTGGACAAATGTGTTAATTCTCTTTGGAATAAAAAAATATTTAATTCATTAAAATATTTTGCACTTAAAATTTCATTACTTTGTTTTTTTAATGTATATGAATGTATTTCCTGAATGTAGTCCCTTACCCACCCAATTATATTTTAAATAATTGCCATTTCAAAGGAACTGCTCTAGACTCTGTGGTTAAAGTCTTTGAAATGCAAAAAACATGGGCACTGCTATGAGAAATGTACAGCCTGGAATAGGGACATGAACAAATGACATTTGATTGGGACTTAAGGGGTCAGAGAAAAGTGGTTAGTTTTTATATCTGATAATCTCAGCATCTCAGTCTGTTAAAATTGTCCATGTGTTCAAATGGATGATGTGAGTATTTTCCTTTTATGGGTAAATACAGGTTGAGTTAATTAATAATGGTGTATTTGTTTTTGTTTTGTTTTTTGAGACAAGGTCTCCCTGTACCTCCAGCTGGCCTGGAATTTGCTGTGTAGACCAGGTTGGTCTAGCTCTCACAGACCTGCTGAGATTAAAGGTGTACACCACCACATTTGGCTAATGCTGCTGTAATTTAAGACATAGTTTAATTTCCATTATTTGTTACGTCAAATCATTTTCAGTTTAACTTGTGTCATATTTTTTTCCCTTGTATTTCTTGATATTTTTCAGAATTTTAAAGTTCAAGCCCTCAGTTTCCTTTGGACTCACACTCAGAATAAGGTATTTTTCCCTGGATATTCATGAATCAGAACAAACTGGGAAAAGTATTGTGAAGTAAGATTCAGGATAAAAAATAGAAGTCTCTTGAACTTCTTGATTTAAGAATGTATCTATTAGTGAGTTTACATTTTAAAAGTATTCTCAAATTATGCTTATTATATTTCTATTATGAAGTGATCTTCATGTTCTTTGAATGTGATAGACATAAAGAAATTGTCTCATATTTTTACATTGTCCGGTCCTTTATCTGTTTTTGCCCTCTCACATAACAAGCGTACCAAAGAGACAAAAATGCTAGTACACTGTAGTTTGTGTGTAGGCCAGAGGACAGCCATTTATGTTATTCCTCAGGCACCATCTACCATTTTTTGAGGCAGGGTCTCCTAAAGTCTGGAGCTTTTCTTATAGTCTAGAGTAGCTGACCAGTGAACCTTAGGAATCTACCTTTCTCTACAGTCTCAGTGCTAGGATTACGAGTATGCCACTATGCTGGTCTTCTTTTACTTTGGTTCAGCAGATCAAACTCAAGTCCTCATACTTGGAAGGCTAGAACTAAATAAATGAATGACCCATTTCCCCAACCTTCTAGTACAGTATTTAATACCATTCCAATGAAGGAGCATAAAAGTTTGGTGATGTCACATCTGACCTATGGGTGCATCAACTTTGATTTCAAAAGACTTGCTTGTTGTGTTAAACACAGGCTTATCAGAGTCTAAACTCTTATAAGTCCTTCCACTAAACCATATTAATTCACAGGGACCTCAGTGATTTATGAGTTATTAAAAAAAGTTATTTTTAATATCCAAATTAGGATGAAAATTTGTTTCTGACCCCATTGGCTGAATTTTATCTTCTATTTTTGTTTGGGGCAGATTTTCCAGAGAAATGTTTGATGGTTGTCTTATTTCTCTTTTAAGCAACCCCTCCCCCAGCAACATTTATTTGAAATGAGAAATTTAACTTCTCAAGCTTCTATGTCCTTTCGGCATAAGTAATACTCAAATACCATGTCCAAAGCACCAGCTTAGAACCCTGCCATTGGTTAGGGAAGATTTATTGCCTTTTCTAGATCTGATATTTAATATATCTTGCTTTTTGTTTGTTTGTCTTATCTAGGATCCAGTTGTAGCAAATGCTGCATATAAATCTCTGTCTCACTTCAGTGCAGGAGAGCACTCCATTCTTCACCTGCCTGAAAAGGTAGGCACTTCTGCTTTCCCATGAGCAGCTTTTAATTTTTTGGTTTTATGACCTTAACCACTGTCTTAGGGAACTTTACCCGATGAGTATTTATGTAACTATAGCTGCATTGTCCATACAATGTAGTAACTAATATTATTTGTTTAATCTGTAAAATTGTGAGGTCCTAGGTTCATAGGCAATGGGTTTGAATCTCTTTAAAGCAAATGGAAGACAGGTATGTCACAAATTAATCATCTTAAGTAACTAGAGTTACATATGTCTGTGTTATAGGAACAACTTTGCTTTCAAATCAGAGTGCCACCTTGGTCTTCAAATCCAATCATTGCCTGCACAGATTAATATTTCTGCCATCTGTGCTGCCAAAATTTTTATTTTTTATTAAAAAGTGCCATAAAGAAAACAT